TTTCCAGTACTGGGGATTGAACTCAGGACCCTGTGCTTTCCAGGCAAGTGCTTATTCTACTGAGCTATCTCCCCAGCCCCTACTTGTTCATATTCATTTTGTTCTTAACTAGTGTTTTAAAACTTTTCCTTTGGCTGGCCTGATATCTCAGAGGGCAGGGACCAGGGTTTAATCTCTGGCATGCCATGCCTGCGCTGCCCCTGGGGTGTGCTGAGAAGGCAACTAAGACTGGGTGTGGTAGTACATGCCTATAATCTCAGAGCTTGGGAGGCTGAAAACAGGAGGATCACTATGAATCCTATCTGTGTAGTAAGACTCTATAGACCCTGTACTATTGACATAAAAAAGGAAACTTTTCCTCAACTTTCAAACACTTTGTTAAAAAGGACGCAGGCCACATTATCAGTGGGACGTGAAAATGAGCCAGTGAGATGATACCATCTATTGAAAACTCACCCATAGGATGGAGAATATTGAAGTGCTCTCTTCATGAGCTCTCCTCCAATCTAGGTGGCATTTCCATTTTCTAAAGTGATATTAGCACTCTTAAAAGGGAAGATATCTGGATTAGGGCATCCAGGATCCAAGGAGATGAGGGATTTTGGTGACCTGTTCATGATGTCACCTATGGTAACCATGGAATAGAAATATGTTTATTGAAGACTTAGAGACAGCTCAGTATGCACTATGGTCAACTTTAAAGCATGCTCATTTCTAACAACAGCAAGGGCTGTGTGAACGTTTTTGACCTTTCTTCATAGGCTGGAACCTAATACCCCATCTGACTGTAAGAGGAGCTAGGGGTGTTTAAGAAGTCATGAGATCACAGAGAATATACTTGCATGAATGGGATTACTGAGCTTTAAAGAGGTCTCAGGGAGTGTCCTTGCCTCTTTCTGTCAAGTGAGGACACACGTTACCCCCTTCTGATAGGGCATTGCACAGCTGTCTGGGAAATGAGCTGGACCTGTCAATTATACTATCCCAGGACAGCACCAAATAATTCACAGGACCCAGTGGGTGGAAGTTCTCAAGGCTCCCTGCAGCAGCTGACTGCAGGAAGACATGACCAGGAATGCTTTCCTGCGCTCCACAATGGCCTGCCCAGGGCTCCAGAGACACAGCCTGTACTCTCTTCTTGCTCTTGCATTCCCTTTTCTCCTGTTCCACTCCATTTGTTCTGCAGAGCTAGTTTGTACTACTCCCATTCACCTCTCACTTTGGCACTGTTTCTGGCTGGTCAGGTCCAACACTTTGTTCAAAGCAAGAAGGACCAGGAATATAGTTGAAGCCATTTCTAAATTTCTAAACAGTGTGAAGACCCAGCCACAGGGACCATCTCTACAAATGGCCCTCACCCCAACATGGAATGGGCCAGCACTTTGACAATGGACTTTCTATTGTGCAGAGTTGTGACAAATGATTACCTGTTGCTTCTAAATTACCAGCTAATAGTATCTTGATTACACTGCCCACATCTTCCAGGACAGAACCCTGGTCTAAAACAAGTATAGGGTAACTTTCTCTGAGCTCCTCATTGGTGAAGGACTGAAGAATGGGGATGACCAGGAGAAGGTACAGGGGCTAGGAATGAACAAAGGGTCATAAGGACAGGAGACCACTCTGCAGGAAGCCCTGCAGTCCTGTTTGAATCCTGGCCCCTGACTTGCTCTCCAAGAGTGAGCCCCACCCCACCCGCAGGTGCTGGCACACCCCCACCGCTCTGTCCAGCTAAGAAGCTCCTCTCTGCACAGCACCCCCACCCCCAGGACACACCCCAGGCAGCCCGCTGGCCCCTCGCTTCTCCTTCCCCTGCTGCTGCAGAGGATCTGAGGCTGCTTTCCCCTCCTTCTCTGAGAACAAAGGCTCTGGCTGTCCAGGCACTGCCCACAGAGCCCTTGCACAGTGAGTTCCAGGTTGCAGGGTGCAGGTTCCCAGGGGGACTGGGGAGGCTCCAGCAGGCAGGGGAGGCGCTGGGCCCACATCTCACCCATGGTGCATATGGGAGAAGCCTTTCCGATTGCACTGGTTGCAGTAAGGAACTGTGCGTAGTTCGTGTCTCCTGGAGTTAAGCACCAAGTTCTTTTTTGTTTGTTTGTTTTATTATTTATTTATTTATTTTTCTAATCAATTTATTTTTCCCCATAATTTTATTGAGAAACAAATAGCAATGAGACAGTTTTAAACCAAATTGGTAGGACAGTTTCAATGATTAACACATTGCATA